CTTAGGAAGAGAGTTATGGCTTGCAGAATCTCATATTCGACAATGTAGTGGATCGAGTGATGATCGTAAAGCTCGTGCAGTTCTCCACAGGAACTCTTGATTGTTTTGAATTTTTGTCTCCCAAATTTATCTAGTCTAATGTTCTATACATTAAGCGAAGTCCAACTGCTCTTTTGGAAGCTCTGTCTGAAACGGTCGGCGTTGACACGACAGCACCTCATTTCGCATTCATCGATGATCCTGCTACAATACCAACTACTCAGCAAGCTAGGAAGAACTATTATTTAGCAAGGGTATGTTAACGATATTTTTTGAGGCAGTCGTTCTCTTGAAAATTTTCGCAAAAGTTAATCACTTCTGCAGTTTTCGATATCTTATGAAGCTGGAACTTTGAAAGATGCGCGGACTGATTTCTCTTTTAGTAATCATTGTTACTGACTCGTAGATTTGGAACAGCACTGGTTCATAGGTTTGGAAATTTTAAGCAATTTAGAATAAGCAAGCCATTTTGAACGAACGTTTTTTGCATTCTTCCAATAATTCTTTCCCTGTCAGTATTCTGTATTTCAGGAACTTGGCCGTCGAGCCGCTAGGCAGCTGGCAGCTGAATGGCCGACATTGTTCATGTATGATCGAGATGAACCAAGACTGGAAGCTTTCAGGCCGAAAGCTATACCAGACCCTTTGCAAATGGAAGCAAACGAAGAAAATTTGTCGGAATTAATCAACATGAAAGAAGTCATCAATGCCGTTAAATTGTACGAACGAATTCGTGCCGAAAATATCGAAGTCTCATCGGAATTACAAGTTAGTGATATATATTCGGCGTTGTTCAGTTATAATATATTAAAATGTTCCATTCATATAACTTCATATAAATCTTGAATTGGATTTGATTCTAGACCGGGAGTGGATGGTGGGTGGACATACACGAAAATAGTGTAGATTAGGAAGTAGTCAGAGTTTTAGTTCGAAGAATTCAAATGTATTATGAGTGGTTTTAGATGGAGCTATTTCGATTGGTTGTTTAC